GGAGCACTAGGGTTACTGTGCTCATGTGAAGGTCAGAGGACAAATCCCAGCAGTCAGTTCTTTCCTACTTCATGGGTCCCAAGCTCAGGTCCTCAGACTGGAGGGCAAGTGCCTTCACCTGCTGAGCCGTCCAGCCAGTCTCTAGATGACAGTTTTAACCCACAGCTGGGTGTGGCAGCTATTGTCTACAACCCCAGAACTTGGGAGACCCAGGAAGGAGCCTAGCCTGCATCCTGACCTCTAGGCAAGCCTGAGCTATAACTGATTCTCTGTCTCAAAAATATCTAAAATAAATAGGAAACGTATCTAAAATAATCACATAAAGGTACTAAGGAATTTTTAAAAAGACAAAGCCAGCCTACACTGCTTAGTGATTCTGAGACAGGGAATTGTAACATGAGGGCCTGTCTGCCCCGACCACCAAAGAAGCAGGATGTGACCTACCCTGCTAAAAAAAGGTACTGAGCCATGTGACTAACATAGATAAAAATAATGGGTTGATATAAGTTAAGATTTAATAAGAAACTTGAGCTAATGGGCCAATCAGTTTTTAATCTAATGTAGACTGTGTGATTTTCTTTGGGACTTGCCGGCTGTGGGGTACCAGGCAGGACAAAAACCCCAACAGGGAATAAAATCAGAAGAGCTAGGGTGGGAAGGACATGGCTTGGTCAGTAAACTGCTTGCCATGCAAGCATGAGGAGCTCAACGTGTGTTTCCAACGGCTGTGTAAAACCAGAGGCAGCAGCACGTGCCAGAGGCAGGTGGGTCCTTAGGGTGTCTGGCCACACAGTCTAAGTAGTTAGTGAGCTCCACGGTTACCCAGAGACCCTGTTTCAAAAAAGAAAAAAAAAAAAAAGGTGGAGAAGCGATTGAGAAAGACAGAGATGTCTGGCCTCCACCCCTGGTCCTTTCGTGCATGCACGATGAACTGTAACTTGGAACTGTGGGCTGATTAAACCCTTCCCTTACCTGTGTTGCTTTTGATCAGGGTGCTTTATTACAGCAGCAGAAATCAAACAAGAACGCCACATAAAGGGTGGAAGCAGAGAACAAACCACACGAAGCTGTCACTGACCTCCATGTGAGTACAACGGCACGCATGCTCTGACATCCATTTTGTGCACACTCACACACAAAAACAAAAAGTTTCAAATTTAAGGGGTAGGGAAGGAGCAACAAACTTGCTTAGGAAGTAAAGATGCTTGCTGCCAAGTCTGACAATCCAAGTTCAATCCTCAGAACCCATGTGGTGGGAGGAAAGAATCAGCTCCTGCAAGCTGTTCTGACTTCCACACATGGCATCATGCATGCATGCACACACACACACACACACACAAATAACGTAATAAAAGGAATGAGGGAATGAGGTAGGGCTGAAGAGATGGTCACCTGTTAAGAGCACTGGCTGCTCTTCAGGGTTCGATCCCAGCACCCACATGGCTATTCACAACCTTCTTACCCTGTCCCACAGAGACTCAACACCTTGTTCTGAACTCTTTGAGCACTGCATACACACGGTACACATACATACATACATACATACATACATACATACATACATACATACAGGCAAAAACCCCATAGCACAGAAAAAAAATCTCAAAAACTAATAAGGTTATGTGTATATACAAATGGGTACTTAAGCTCAGTGATTCCTGCCTGCTGAGTTTTCTAGCCGGTCTTGACCTCACCAAAAAGCAAGCCCTTTGTGGCAGCACATCACCTCTTCGCGGAACCTGACTGGCCAGAGCAGCACATCTGAACTAGGGCCTGATTCCGGCCTGCTCTGCACCATGCATCAGGCAGGCCAAGCTGGTTTTCTGGTGGGACTGGAAGTTCCTGCTCAGCTCAAATTGGCATACCATCCTCCATCAGCACACACTAGTCAGCTATGTTAGCTTGGTTTTTGCTGTAAGTAAGTGGGTCGTTGTGTCGTTCCTGCCCTCCAATCTCTACCTCTCTCTTCTTTTCTGGGCCTTGACTATGCCAGGCAAACACTCTAACACTGAACTAGAACTCCAGCCTTCTTTTTCTTCTTAGACATGGTCTCACTATGGAGCTCTGACTGGTCTGAAACTCACTACATAGACCAGGCTGGCTTTGAACTTACAAAGTTCTGGGACCAAAGGCATATGCTACCACACCCTGTCAGCCTTTATTTGAGACAGGATCTTACTATAAAGCTCAAACTAACTTTAAACTCACTACATAGTCCAGGCTGCCCTTGAACTTGAGCTCCTCCTACCTCTGCCACCCAATTCCCAAGTGCCGGGACTATAGGCATGTGCCATCACATTTGGAAGTCATGCTGACCTTTTATTGCCAATGTTCCTTCTAATTAAGCAGTCTCATGCCAGTTGGTGAAGTATTTCAAGTATTATTTCTGTGTCCATGTGGGCCTGACAACTCTTTTTTTAATTTTAGTTAATTAATGTTATTCATTTATTTAATTAATAAATTATTAATTTATTTTTGAGGCAGGATTTCTCTGTGTAGCCCTGGCTGTTCTGGAACTTACTAAGTAGACCAGAACAGCTTCAAACTCAGAGATCTGCCTGCCTCTGCCTCCCAAGTGCTGAGATCAAAGGTGTATGCCACCACTGTCTGGCCTGGGCCTGGCAACTCTTGTCTTGCTTTCTTCCACTTCAGTGAAGCTCTACCACACAGCTACTATCTGTCTGGCTATCTCATGTAGCCTAACATGCTTTATCTGTTTAGCCTCACATTGTCCCTACTCATCTCTACCCAAGTCTTGTCCATTTTTCAAGCTCCATTTTGCAAACTACCTTCCCAAGCGACCCAGCTGCTGCATCTCTAGGCCACACGGATGCTTCCAATGAAGACCAACCCTCCAGCACCTCTAACCAAGGTCACATTTACTCCTCCTCCATCTCTTTTCCAGTCATCTTCCCTAGGTAGCCTTTTATAATGTAGTTTTCTTTAATCCCAACATCTGAGAGGCAGAGACAAGCGATATCTGTGAGTTTGAAGCCAGCCTGGTCTATAAAGCAAGTTCCAGAACAGCCAGGGCTCTGTTACACAGAGAAAACTTATCTCAAAAAAACAAAAACAAAAACAAAAACAAAACAAATAAACAAACTTTTTTTGCTTTGTTTTGTTTTTCGATACAGGGTGTCTCTGTGTAACAGAGCCCTGGCTGTCCTGGAACTTGCTTTGTAGACCAGGCTGGACTCGAACTCACAAAACCATAAGTGCTATGATTAAAGGTGTGCCCCACCAAACCTGGTTCAGTTAACTTCTCATATAGAGAGCACACCCAGTCCTCTTCCCCCCTCCTAAAGAAGCCATTTCCATGCACTTCTGCACACATGGATGAAAAGAGCTAGGCTTTGCACAGCTCTGCAGTTCCTCGAGGGCAGGGACTGTCAACAATGACCCTTCAGTAGCTGGCCACTAGCCTTTAATGAGCACTCAAGTCTCTAACTGACTATCTGACAGACGGAGAAGGCGGAGATGGCCACATAATAGAAGCAGAAGAAGGTGGGGGATGGAATGATGATGAGCGGACGAGTCAGGCACAGAAGCAAAGGACCACACCACATGCAACCCTCTCCATCAGTCATCCAGAGGGCTCTCTAGGCCTCACTGCCCAACCCTTCACATACCTTTTTAGGAGAGAAGACACCCACAGTACCACCATCCTCCCGGACAGCCACGCCCATCTCAGCCAGCAAGGCTTCTCTGTGAGCAAGGGAAAGGCAAATGTCAACCTTATCATGGCTGCCCCATCTTTCCCTGCAGAGGGGCAGGCCGTGCACCTTGGCCCTCGTACCTCTCCATTCTCAGGGCTTCTGTCTTACGGAGCTTCTCCTCCCAGGTCTCATTCAGCTCAGCAATAATCTTCTCCGTCTCCTGTGGGCATTAGGACAGACAGAAAGCAGGTTCAGGACAGTCCTGGACCAACACCTACCACAGAGACAACCACACTCTTGAGGCTCCTTCTTCCACTTCAGCCTTGGCTTTGGAGAAATAAAGTTGGAGCAGCACCCAGACCACCACCCCTTGCCAGTGCCAGCTTTGCTACCCAGACCACCATCCCTTGCCGGTGCCAGCTTCACTTCCCACCTGCAGCCTCTCCATGGCCTCCTCAGGCCCAATCTGGGGCTCAGCACTAGGAGAGAATGAAGGCTCCAGCTCCCCATTATGTGGAGGAGGCGATGAGGGTGAAATTGGGGTGGGGGGAGAAGATACAGCTGGCAGAGCACCTCCAGGACTCCCCTCTTCCACCTTCAGACCTGGAAGGGAAAAAGCGAGGAGGCTAAGAGGGAACTGATCAGAGACAAGAGAAGGCCAAGAAGGCCACAGAGAACTGCGGGAGACATCTGGGCAGCTTGCCACCAGGGAGGTGGCCCTTCTTAGCGACAATGACAGCAGCTGAGAAGCCAGGGATGGAGAGCCTCACTCTTGCATGAGATGAAGCCGCCCATTCTTTCCACCATTAATGACTTCTACCATCAGAAAGCTCTTAGCTGTATCGAGCTGAAGAGGCCCCACACCGTGCACCTAGCCTTTTTAGTTCTGTCCCTAGGATACGATGCCACATACACTCCCTTCACGAGACAACTTATCTACCTTATCCTTCTTCTCTTCCCAAGAACTCTTATTCTCCCCACTGTGCCCCTCAGCACGCTCTCCTCAGTGAGATGTACTTTAAGACTGGCACAGGGTGTGAACCTGATCCAGTTAACATGGATTATGTATCTTCTCGCTCACAAGGACATCGATTCTTTTTAAAAAATAAAAAATTGGAACGCAGAGCTGGAGAGGTAGCTCAGTGGTTAAGAGCACTGGTTGTTCTTCCAGAGAACCTGGGTTCAATTCCCAGCACCCACATGGCAGCCCATAACTGTCTATAACTCCAGTTCCAGGGGACCTGATACCGTCACACCGGTGCACATAAAACAAAGTCAAATAAAATTTTAAAAAAATAAAAAATAAAGACAAATAAATCATTAAAAAGATTTTATCCTATAAAAAATAATACAGAACGCTGCCTGAATTTGAGTGTGATCCTTGTGCAAGAGCTGTGCTAATCTTTGTATCATTCCAATTTTAGTATGTGTGCCACTAAAATGAGCACATGGATATTAATTTCTTACCAGTGAAGCTACATCTACAAACCATCCTGTTGTTGACCATTAAGCTATAGTTGATTAAAACTCCGTTGTTTCCAGGCATAGTGACACAGGCCTATAATCCTAACACTTGGGAGCCTGAGTGCATGGTAATCTTGACTAGAGAATGAAACCTTGTCTCAAGACAACAAAGGGCAGCGAGGCATAGCGGCTCACACCAGCACTTGGCAGCCTGAGGTAGGAGGGGCCACAATAGTAATTCTCAATCTGTGGGTCGTGACCCTCACTGGGGTCACATATTTAAATTATGATTCAAAACAGTAGCAAAATTACAGTTATGAAATAGCAACCAAATAATTTTATGGTTGGGGGGGGTCATCACAACATTACAGGAACTGTATTAAAGGGCCACAGCATTAGGAAGGTTGAGAACAATTGGACAAAAGAAAGGTCCAGGTTACATACAGTGAGATCCAAAACAAAAACAAACAAAAACAGAGAGGAGTCTGTCATTTTATAAGACCTTCTCCAGGACACATTCCCCAGTGTCTTCTAAACTTCCTATGTGAACCATAAATTTGTGACTTGCTAAACACTCTTTGCACCTGGTGTTTATTCATTCTAGAAGCCTGTTTTGAGTCTCCCTGAGAAACTAAGTCTGTCCCAGCTCCATAATATTAAAAGATGGAAGTGCCTTCTCCAGATATGTGTCCACATGACTGAACACAACAGGTTTAATGGTGAATAAACCTTCCCACATCCCAGAACTGGGCAAAGACAAGGAAGAACAGACAGGTGAGCTAAGGGGCCTCCCTGGCTGTCCCTTCCCAGTAGCCCTACCTCCTAGAGCGGAGGCTGAGAGTCCCTGAGCCATCAGCAGCTCCCGCAAACGTGCCACCTCCTCCTGCAGCTCTCGGATAAGCCGGGCATTGGGATCCTCGTTGATGACAGCATTGCATCGGATCTGCTTGGTACGGTCTGCATATCTGGGCAAGGAAAGATAAAAGTGCTGAGAGCAGACCCAGGAGACCCTTGCTACGTGTCTACTCATTTCCTGCTCACCTGCTCAGATCTCAAACATTGTGACAGGGCTGGAGGCTCTCCTTCCCTTATGACTAACCAGCCTCTGAGCTCATGGCACTTTTGGTATGCTACCAAAGCTGAAACCCCACCTGAGGGTGCTGAGTGTCTCCTCATAATTGATGTCAGCAGGACTCAGAGCTGCAATCATTGCTGTGCGTGAGTTCCCACCTATGGATGGAGAGGATGAGAAAGTAACAGATGAGCTGGAGACTAAGAAAAGTCATATGGACTAGATGAGATACTGCATGACTGTAACCCAGGGCCTGGGAGGTGGAAGCAAGAGGACAGAGTTCAAGGCCAGCCTGGGATCCATGAGACCCTGTCTCAAATTAATTAATTAACTATAATTAAGTAATAAATAAATAAGTAAAGTTGGACTGGATTATAAAGACCAGTACACAGGTCTGGGAGGCCAATGTCTGAGGTGGGATAAACCTGAGAATTGTGAGCTAATCATGAAGTCCAATAATGCAGGGAAAGGTGAAGTCAGGGAGACGTCAGGTATCTGTGAGCAGTGACAGGCCTGTGGGAGGGAGATGAACTTAGCAGTATTTGGGGTCAGGGGTAAACAGGTCAGTGAGGTCCCTGGTTCGGCAGGGTGTTGTCATGATGTCAGCACAGTAAACTTCCTTATAGGATGACCTCTCGGTCGGAGGGAAGAACCGAGGGACAACATGGAGTAGATGGCAAGAGATTCTGTCAGATAGGACGATAACAGGGTAGCGAAGGCAGGGAAGGAACCCCTCACCCAAATTCTCCTTGAGCAGCCAAGTGAGCACAGAGTCTCTATAAGGGATGAAATCTGACTTCCGCTTCTTTGATTGCTGAGGGACAGAAGAAGAGGGCGATGAGTCACTCCCCGTACCTTCTCCCCGCAGACTCTCCTCTTCCCGACCCTCAGGGCTTACCAAATCTGCCAGGGCTGAGATCACCTTCCCCAGAGTAGTCAGGGATTTATTGATGTTGGCGCCTTCCTGGGAAAGGAAGGAATGTGGAATTGAGGCCTTCCTGTCAATCAGATCTCTGCCAGCAAGGGTCTGAGGGGATGATCAGCACCCTCCCTCCCTTCATCCCTCACCTTTAGACGCATACCCCGGGCCCCTGAGGAGTCAGCCCGCTCACTCCCAGCGAGATCCACCAAGCTGATCTTACTGACCTGGGGTTGGAGGAAAGAAGCAGGTTGTGGCTAGGGTGGGTAGGGGATGGGAAGGGAATTTGGGGAACAGCCAGCAGAAACCTTGGTGTTTAGCAAAGGCCAGAGAAACCCGGGGTGGGGAGACAAAAGAGAACAAATGAGACAAGAGTGAGGACCTGGCTATGCATTCATGTGTTCATTTATTCACTCACAAATATTATAGGTTCACTTTGTCCCAGGACAAGGGACACAGTGGGGCCTGAGCCCCTGCCCTGAGAGCCTTTAAGGACAAGTGAGCAAACAGGTTATAACACACTGGTGGGACAGTAGAGGGGGCTGCGGAAGTCCTGACGAGGCACCACCAAGCCCAGGTGGGCAGGGAATGTGCGAGCCCCTTCCAACACATTATTTGAGAGAGGTCCCCATTTGAAAGAGGTCACTACCTTTTCCGAATCCAGGCCAGAAAGCTGGTCATGGGAGCGCTGAGTGAAGACAATAGTGAAGACAGCGTGGGAACGGCTGCTGGTCTCATTCATGTTGGTGGCGGCCACAGTTCTGGAATTGAAAGGAAAAGTCATAGGTCCCTACCCTCCACCCTCACAATTTTTGGCTCCCTTTCTTCCCAGGTTAGCCTGCCTCACCGCGCCTTATTTCCACAGTCCATGAGGTCAGCAATGTCTGCATAGGAAGTCACAGCCAATTTAGACAGGTCTTGCACGTAGGGGCCCAGTATAGGGTGCTCCCGAACACGCAGGGAGCCCCGACTCTTGGGGTTCAAGAGGTCTCGTACTCGCTCGCAATAGATCTCCATATAGCTCACCTAAGTGGGAGAAGCAAACAGGAAGTGAGGGAGCGAATAGTGATGCTGCTGGAGAAACTAACCTCGGTTGAACAGGACAGTTACCCGCAGCTCAGGCATGCAAGCATGGTGCTAAGGCTGAATACGCTAGCTCCCTGGTCCTCTCACCAACCCAAGGAGGTGGATCTAATCATTAGCATCCCAAAGAAGAACACACTCGGGAGCTATAAGCTGAAATCACTGCCCAAGGTCCCATTAGTCACCAGCACAGGCAGAAATAGGTCCCAAGCTGACTCCAGAGACAGACCTCAGTGTTAATCACTGTTTTCCTACGTTCTTGTCCAAGGGTACCAGGTCTCCTGCCTACCTACACCAAGACTGGGGCTCACCTCCACAGAATAGGAAAGCTGAGCGTTCTGGTTCACATTAACACGAGAGAAGAGGTCCTCGCAGAGCTGCAGGGGGACACAGAGAAGATCCTGTTCAGGGCATACCTGTAGCTCCTAGCCCCAGGCCAGACTTTGTCCCAAATGACCCTTTCCATAGCCCCAAGGCAGGAGTCAGTTCCATTTTATAGATATGAAAACAATCTCTCAAAGGTTCACATCTGTTTAGAGTTACAAACTAGTATCCATCAGGCTAGGATGCAAGTCCATGTATCCTACATTCTGGTCTATGGACAAGGCCACTATAGATCATAGCCACAGAGAATTCTGGGCAAATCTCAGTCATTCACAACTACGGCTAACACCGTCTAATACTGAAATCCACAAGGCAAACCAGTTATAAGACAAAATAAAATAGTAGTGAGCTGTGAAGCCATTGCTCCTCTAATACTAACACCTTGGCTCTTCTCATGAAGCCCTGTTGTCCTGGTGGGTGCAAAGCCTCTCTCTTAGAAGGACCCTAGGTGTCAGGATACAGCCAAGTCTTACACTCCGTCACATTTCCAATCACAAACAGCCCCAGACAGCCCTTCAACCCCATCCTTCTCGCCCTGTGGCAACTGAAGATGTTCCTCCCCTGGCTGCCCAGTTAGGCCCCAGCATGTACCTGAGGCACAATGCCCTGCTGCCCCGGTTCCTGCCGTCCCATCATGGTGTAGGACTTCCCGGCCCCCGTCTGCCCATAGGCAAAGATGCACACATTGTAGCCTTCGAAGGCATGCAGCAGCATCTCCTCTCCAATGTCTCGATATACCTGCTGTTGAGACGCAAACTGCGGATCCTCCACCTAGAGGAAAGGGAGGCAGAGAAAGACAGGAGCCCTAGATGAAGCTGTTCTTGGTGTCTATGGCCTGAGCATCCTGACCTCTCAGTGACTACTCATAGTTCCCGTGTACCCTTCATCCCCACCACATCATTCCAGCCCCCTGCTGGTCCTAATTATCTGGAGGGTTCACTTTGCCCCTCTAGGTTCTAAACACAACCCAAGAGCACTATCCATCCCACCCAGAGGTACCTGTCCTCCCAGGCCAGTCCCCTGGATACCCTTTCTTCCCAGCAATATCCCTGCTTCCCAGGACTCAAATCCCCCATCTCCTATGGCTAAGCTCTTCCTCTGGCCCAACAGCCTCACCGAAGTATGTGACCAATAAGAATAGTCGAAGGTGAAGCTTTTGGGGGCATCTTTGCTCTGTTTGGGATTGATGATGGCTGAAAAAACAGAGAGAAAAGTCAAGGTGAGGTATGTTCAACCTCTGCCCACTTTTCCATAAGCCCCAAGGATCCAAGATCCCACTCCCCATCTCTGTCCTAACTCATTTCTTCCCTTTAATACTCCCCACCCCCTCCAGCCACCCAAGCTAATTTTGGCTTCACAGGACCCGCCCCCACTGAGCTGCCTCCCTGGATTGGGCAATGGAGGGCTGCTGGCCAACATTCCCCCTCCCAGGGACAGGAACATGAAAAGGCCAGTTGCCCCCCCTTACAGCTAGCACATGCTCTATGCCCAGCATGGCCTTCCTCCCGGGACAGCCCAGCAGGCCT